TCAGAGTTCTAATAGCGCGACCACTATCGAACACCCACTCATTTCCACTTATTTTTACCAAAAATGCAAGTGTTTCTAGCTTGCACTTAAAAAAATTCAAGCTATAGGGAAAATTGCAACGACTCGTTAATAAATAAACAAATTAAGTATCACGAGACGTAATTAAATCGTGAAGCTGAACGCATGACGTACACCTTTCCCTAGATCTTTAAGTACTGACAGAGGTATTGATTGGGTCAGAAGTGTCTAGCCCTAGCAGTCAACTTTTAAGCTTAACCAATCAGGTTGGTTAGCGTGGTTATTTGAAGCGTGTTAATTCATTTGTGTTTGTCAAAAACTCTAACGTGATTGGTCGGGCTTAATAGTTGCCTGCTAGGGCTAGACGCAAGTGATTTGGTCGACCGGTCAACTGCGACAAATCTGTTATATCCCCTTCCACGTCTCTTAGCGATGTGCACAGTTTCTCGGTTTATTTCATACGTTTGGCAACGTGTTTACTGTCCTCTCTTTGTTCAGTACATTATAAACGCATTGTACTCTTCTTATATACGGAAATCTCGACCCAAGACTAACCTTTGCCAGCCCTTGGACTCTTAAAACTCTAATACCCGACACTGCTGATCACAGTGTTGAACCTGCGGTCAGTACCTATCCAAATATAATTATTGCCCTATTGATATACACTTGTCAACAATTTAAATGTTAACGTAATATTCTCGACGTTGCCCAACTCTGTTGCACAGTAATGTTTCTGACTTTCTCTCTTTCTTATGCATTCGAAGCCGTATATGTACCACGCTGAAAATTGATTGGTAGCTACGTGTGCGCTTTAGTTTTTCATCTGCGGCGTTGTCGGTCCCGAGTCCGAACAAAAGGAGAGACATCAATATTTATGACGCGAAGAAAATTGCCAGACAATAAAAAGCGCGTAGAGAGAGGCGCTACTTGCGGCCTTTTTCTGCCGACGATGGCTCCCAAACTGCTTCTTGTTATTTGGAATGCGCTTTACAGTGTCGTAAACATCGGCAAAATATCGAACGTTATGTACACGTAGCTTTGTTGCCTTCGCAAAAGAGGATATGGCGAGTGACTCAGCTTTTGTGTGTGCGACTGTTAAAACCTATGGTTAAAACTGATTCACGAAGAAGAATTGATTTTTGCTACCTAATGGAAAATCAATTTTAAAGATCGGTCTACTGTTCGGTAGACTTTTCTTTATGCTGCTTAAAATGAAAACGGGTAATTCAACTACATACTTACGTAGTTACAAAAAGAATATGAAAATGAAATGGCCTGATATGGGACAAATGCTTAGACAAGGAAAGAGAGGGGACAGGTAACAGGGCAGTTGAAAGTGAGGCAAGTTGTCACCACGCGAAATTCTCCAATGGCGTAACATCAGAAATTAGCTTGTACCTAGACAGTACAAAATATTTATTAAAACGTAACTAATATATCGTTCATTTTTGAGTAATGCATATACAATTTTGTATTTTATAGTCTCACCTTTATAATATTAGAATATCTAAGTCGATAATGCAAAATTTATTTAACATTCACAGTAGACTGATTATCAAGACATTTATTTATTAACGTGTGTATAATGTATAATTAAATAAAAAATAATGTATTAACATATGTTTTAAACGTGTATATACATATATACTGTATGATCGAAAAAAACGGCGTCTTGGAAATGACAATTTCACAAATGAATATTAAAAATTACATTATTCATTGAATCCGTAAGCAAGTGTGAAGGGAATTGACTAGATTCATTATTATAGCGTATAATAAAAAAAAAACGACGTCCAGTTGGCTTGTAAATTACGATCGATGATATTCCCCATATAATTCTACATATAAAATGACATAAAAACTATACAAAACGTGTCAGCGATAGCTATGAAATGAAGATCGCTGTCATTTTATATGTAAAATTATATGAGGAATGTCGTCGATCGTCATTTACAAGCCAACTGGACGTCGTTTTTTTTTCGACCATACGGTATAATAATGAATCTAGCCATTCCCCTTCACACTTGCGTACGGATTCAATGAATAATGTAATTTTTAATATTTGTTACCAAAAAAATAAACAATTCTAGAAGCTTTGTGTTATTTTATTTATTTTTAAATTTTTATTAATTACTCACTGAAACTATTATTATACACCTAAATTAGCAAATTTTTTGAAAGAATATTTAAAAAAATATATGTAGTAACAAGTAGCCCACCACAAGTTTGTCCACCCCCAGCAAATCTTGGCAGGTAAATTTAAGTTTTATATAACAATTATACATATAGATTTTTTATCACTAGAATTTTTAATTTTTTTATAGTTTACAATTATTTTACATATTTGATAACAATACTTTATACATTTTTTACATGTAACATAAAAAAAATGTTTATTGCAGAAATTGTATTTCTCTGATTATAATTCCCTACGCCACTGGAGAAATCCATGCTGAGTAGCATTATTTATAGTTTCAAACATTAATTATAATACAGGATATTGAAAATACTACTTGGAATTATTAAAAATAGTTTGGTTTGGATGTGGTACAAGACATATTAAAAGCATTTTACATATTTTTACTGCTATAATGAAAAAAATGTACATTTTATGACCACATAACAAAAGTTGTGTATCGATTTTTACCTGTGAAATGTAATTCCAGCCACACTTTTTTCTCGCTTCAGACTTTGCAGCTATACGCTGAACATTTCACCATACTAAACAACACAGTTTATAAATTTAAAACAAAACAGTATTCACAAAAAACATAAAAATTCGCTTGGTATCACCTCGAAATCTTGTCAGCAAAGTATGGCCGCCGATCAAATTTTGGCCTCACAAATTTTTCACTGGAGAATATGCGTATTACCTGTCCCCTCTCTCTCCTTGTCTAAGGGCAAATAGATCTATACAGGGTGTTACAAATTCGATGTACGAGCAATGATATTTCGAAAACAGTAATAGATACGAAGATGGTTAAATTGTGGCAAAGTAGCGCCTTAGGATGTTCACCAAAATGCCGTCAAAAAAGTTTTAAAAATTTCAAGGATTGCTGAGTTTTATTGAAAAAACGAATTTTTTTGAAAATTAATTTTATCTTTTCCTGTCGTTACTTTTTAAAAAATCAAAAAACGAATTGCACATTCTCATAGCCACCTTACTAGAGCTATCTGATGGTATTTTTAGATTTTCAAATTAGCTGATAATTTGTGAGATACAGAGGCTAACTTCATTTTTTTAAATACGGACCTGCATTTTTTATTTCAGGTTTCCAAAGAACTCGGTCTCCTGAGTACAGTGATATGCCACACTTAATATTTTTTTGGTTTCGGACATTTGAACACAATTTATTTAAACCAATTTCAAGTTTGGCTCTGTTTTTTTTTATATTTAATCTATTCATCCTTACAATATTGATTAGCTTCGATTCCCCGATTTTGTAGCACCCTACCTCGTACCCCGATTTTGTAGCACCCTGTATCTTTATTTGATTAATTCTCAATGCGGCTTTCTTTAGTATCTGTAATCCGCACCTTATCCGACCAGATAAGATATATAGAAAAAATATATTATATGTTCTTAGCGGACTCTAAAAATCAGACGTGTTTTTCTTCTCGTATGGTTAATTACACGATATAATTAGTACGAAATTCATTAGCGCCGTGAAGCTTTCAAAGCTAACAGACCGCTAGTAAAAGAACCCGACACAAATCTTCCCTTTTTGCCTTACGCAAAAATCAATTACAAACTCATAAATTTTCGTCTTTACTGCAGAGGTACGATGTATATAAATAATTAATCACGTATTTTTTATGACAGTTTATAGTATAGTTTTTAATCAAGTCTAGAGAAGCTAGGAAACAACGTTAGTAGAAATGTTTTCCAATTAAATTTTAGTTTAAAATTGAGGTTTGAGCGACATCTATGGGGGAATGTACGAACTATACCGTAAAAGTTGTATAGTGTGCCATCTATGAGGGAGTGAATAAACTGCAAGAGATTTAGAGGTTACAGTGTTCTTGCTTTATTTGCAGAAAACTTTGAGAAAATCTTGGTGTACAGTTTGGTATTTTTTTACTAGATGGCAAAAAATTTAATAAATTTTAAACAATTTAATGTAAATGAAATTAAAGAAGTATTTACATATAGTTTACTAGTTCAAAATGGTTACAAAAATTCACATTTATGGGTATAGTTACTTTCTAACACACATTTACAGTTGTACAAAAATATAAAAAAAATATAAATAAATAAAATCTAAAACACTAAATATTTAAACAAAATACATGTTTAATTAAAGCTTCGTTACAAATTAATGAACAACATAATTACTAAATTACAATTAATAGCAAAAACATTCAAGTATTTTCTTAATAAATAATAACTTATACGATCGAAAAAAAAGGCGTCAAAGATGGCTGGGGAATGATCATGATGATAATTTTGGCGAGGTCAAACCGTAGACTCGTCATTTACTTGGTGCTAGATTCATATATGTCTGCAAACGTTCTATCCTTTTTTAATCTAATTAGTGTTAATTTTTGTAAAGTTTTATGTCAAATATTTTAGTATATGGTGACTAGAGATTGACCTCGCTAAAACTATGATCGATTTTTATTTCCCAGCCGTCTTTGACGCCGTTTTTTTTTCGATTATACGGTATTTTATGTAATTTAACGTATTGTTGGATGGACATTTATATACCGGGTATTACCACCCCTATAACTTTTTTTACTTTTTCACATAAAACAACGAGATTTGGTATGTTAGTATATGACATAAGTTAGGATTGATTGACCTATTTAATTGTTTTCGGTCACTTCCGGTTTCACCGGAAATGGCTATAACTTTTAATTTGTAATTGACACACTAGATATGTTTTTACTTTATTCGATAGAAAATGACATTCTGAATAAAATGACATATCATATGTCAACTTTTGACATTTTCGCATATGGTACCATTTTAAAACAAGCAAAAAATTTTATGTAGAATGCATTTTTCTCAAAATAACAATAATAAAAAAGTTTTACCTTTTGTAAAGACATTCCTGGGATATACACAGTATATACATGGGTCCGGAAATGCATAGTTTTAAAGATACAGGATGTTAAGATTTAAACAAAATATATTTTTTTGTCTTGAATGCCATTATTTTTTTTAATTGCTGTAGGTAGCACCCTTGTTATAAAGAATAACATCAACTACTTTAAAATTATTGTCATAATGCGTAATCTAAAAATCTAGTCATTCCAATCATTTGATAAATAAATTATAGGTAAATAATCATATCTATACAAATTCGTTAAACTAGTAGCTAAATAAAACATGTTGATTTAATGAAAGACAGAGTAAAATAAAATACTTAAAATACTTCTCAAGTATGGCCATTTTGTTCTTTCTTTTGCTCCACTGTTACCATCAAAAACCCGTCCACATCATCCATTTCCTTGCAATAAAATTTAGCAGCAATGGCAAAATCTCCAACTCTATCCGGGGTAAATCTGAACTCAGCTAAAGAATAATGGTGTAAATGAATTAATTTTTAGTTTGAAAAAATATGTGTCATACAAACCTTTCGCATGGTGTCCTGGTTCCACATTCTTGACTTTAAGCCTTAATTTCCCTTCAATTCCTGGACCTTCTACGCTAAATTCCCCTTTTTTGATGGCAACAGGAAGTGGGTTCTCTACACTAACATAAGCCACAGTTTCTACAGATTCAACAGGTTGTTCATGTAGAAGAATTTTGATATCCGGTTTTCTGACCCTGTAAAAAAATATCACTCTACAGTAACTTCACAAAACTCTACGTTCATGAAAGGTTTACAGTTAAAATGCTATGAACCTTTCACTAAATATTTTTTTTTATCAAAATTTCTGTTATCTTTCTGTTATTTTTATTACAAAACGTCACTTACCGAAAATCATCCTGTGCATAATACTCAAACTTGTTCTCAGGTACGGACGCCAAACAAGAAATGTTGAAAGCAGCTTGATCTATCAGTCTTTTGACGTATTCCTCGTACGCCACTGTTAGTTTGACTTCGTGAGTCGAATCCGGCTGGACCAGCACGTTGAAAGTCTCTTTTTTGACAGATTCGCCCACTTTGCCAGTGTAGGTGACCACGTCAATTCGCAGAATGACAGAAACCTTGAAAGCTGTCGTTTTGGATCGGTTCCGCATCGCTAGAGATACGTCAAACGGTTGGCCTATTTTTACGTCATCCAGGAGGTTGAAGTGGAAGTAGATGTCGTTGAAGTCTTCATTTAGGTAATATCTACAACAGAAAATCAGGTATTAGATTTTTTTAATATTACATGTTATTAAATTTATTAAGGAAGGAGTATAATGCTATCAATGCAAAGATCTAGCTAGAAAAGGACTCCATTGATTGGACCAGAACCGTTCTGCTTCCCCAGTGGAACTCATCTTAAAGCAAAACTCAAGAAGCTGGAATGGGAATCGTCCAACGGTCTAATGTATGTAGAATGTAGAATGAGTAAGAGGGGGGGGGGGTAATCACGGCGACCTTAAATTAAATAATAATAAAATCTATTGTGCCCCCCTTCCTTGAGTCATCACACAGTCTATAACCCATCATACCTCTATTGTAGAGGGGACAGGGTATTCCCCATCTTCCTCTGACAACAGTTCTTCCCTCGAGGGTACACATCCTTCCACGGTTGGAGTTTAGCCCTCCGTGCCGCCCTTCACAGTCGAGGAGCTTGCCTCCGGCTGAGGAACCTGTGAGGTGGAGGCTGGAGGATCTGTCTCCATTTTCTCCACCTCTTTAACTTGGTCTCTCCTTAGATCTGATACCGGTGTTGTCCCGTATCTATAATAGAGGATATGTCCCCCTTTATTGCCTTCTTGAATTTGAGGTCAATTCCTATTGTGAGGACCTGACCATGACCCTCCTCCCTCGAGTTGATGACTCGCCAACTCGATGTCCTTACATTGAAGTTCTGACCCTTGATAAGGCTCAGCAGGTAGGTGGTGTCTTTCCCCTTGCTCCTCGGCAAAAAGACCGTGATGGCTGCCCCTTTAGAGATGTTTTCTCCCTTCACTGCAACCAGTTCCGGCCCTTGCCAAATTTTAAGCTTAGGTGTGATTTCCACCAACCAATTCGCCGATTCTTGAGATACACAATCTATGAGGATCATGCCCACCCGAAATTGTATCCACGCAAAACGCAGCTGACCCACATTTTGTAGATCGTTGTGTTGTTATCCGATTGTCACTACTTCGTCCAGTATAGCCTCTTCTAGAAACGTTTGCTGATCGGTGGTCAGAGCAACCTCTGAGAAATCCTTTGGCAGCACCGCCATTTTCATTTGTCCAGCAATAGCGGCACAGCTAGTGATACGTCTCTGCTTGCCTCCCGGTGTTGGACGGCTTTCCATCATGGCTTTTTTCTCAGTGAGAGGTTCTCGCTCCCTCTCTTGCCCTTTGATGGAGATGAGTCAGGTTGTTTCTTGGTTTCTTTACTCTCCCCTTTTCGGAGGAGTGTTTTCGCTTTTTCTTCCTCTGGAGCAAGTCCTTCGTGGAACAGTCGGAGGTATCTCCGTGCTTCTGCTCCACTAAGACCTACTTTCAGAGGATTGTTTAACCCGCCCGGTTGACCCAGGCCGGGTAGACGAAACGGTAGCTTGTGTCACTTATTGGGTCTATAGGTAGGCTCCCGACCCTTGCTTCCAACGGTCTAAGACCCTTACTTACTTTAAGACAACAGATATATGAGCCAGAAAAATCAAAGATTAAAAGTATCAGTATTATTAAAAGATGCAGGATCAACATATAGGGCCTTCTACAAAAAGACACCAATGCATAGCCTTTGCAGATGATTTAGTTATCTTAGCGACAGATCGGAAAGAGCTGATATCGGTGACCAAAAGACTAGAAGATCAAGTGCAAAAAATGGGCTTATTGTTTAATGAGAAGAAAACTAAGTTTATGGAGAAGTCAGAAAGGTATTTTTAAAAATGAAGATGTCTACAAATAGATTCTGAGAGAGGGAAACGATACAAGTTTGAGAAAGTAGATACATTCACATATCTAGGAACCATATTTCTAAGGAAACCAAATGTAACTCAGAAAATTGTGGCAAAAATAGTGGCAAGAAATAGATGTGTTAGCGCACTACAGGAAATTATTAAGAATAAGAACATCTCTAGAAGTTTAAATATCAGAATGTACCAAACAATGATACGATCAATGGTGCTGTATGCATGTCAAACGTGGACGTTCAATGGAACGGAAAGTTCAAGGCTAGAGATTTGGGAAAGAAAAATACCGAGAAAGATTTTTGGAGGAAAGAAGGTAGACAACATATTGGACCATAAGAACCAGTGAACAATTAAAGCAACTATATCGGGCACCGAGTATAACGGGAGTAGCAAGAGCACAAAGACTAAGATGACACATTAAAGAATGGCTGAAGCAAGAGTTCCTAGTATGATAATGAAACGTGAAATAGGTTGAAAGAGAAGGAGGGGTAAACCAAGAATCAGATGGAGAAAGGATGTTGAAGGGGACTTGAGAAGGATAAGAGTGGATGGGTGGAGAATAAAGGCGAAAGACAGAAACAAATGAAGAAAGATAACCAATCAAGCCATGAGTCTTTTAGGCTTTTAGAGCTATTACAAGTAAGAACAATCTTCGGATTGTCTTACGAGGATACTTAAAAATCAATGGTATATCTCTTCATGCCACGCAAATATCTTACCTAGAAAATAAGCTTTGAGATTGCTGTAAAGCTTTCAACATCGTTATTCTTTCCTCGTTGGTCTTTTCTGGATATTTATATGAAGCAGTTATGTCTTCTCTGTCAAAAGATCCGGGAGTTTTGGTACAAATCAGCTTTCCTATTCCATAAGTATCTTTTCTTAGTAGTTTCAACGGCTGTCTTGGCCCATTGTATCTCCAAAATATCTACAAAATATAAGTAAAAAAGTGTGATTTAGCAAAGCACATAGTCTCTCAACTTATACAGGGAGATGCACCTCATTCGCCTCTGTTATTGATTATACGAAAACGGAAAGATATAGGCACAACATATGTTATGGGTATATATAGGACGGCAATGTGCATAATTTAAAATTATTTTGAAATGTATAAGGTATGTCAGAAGTAAGATCCATACCAAAGTTAATTTTTTTCTTATGGAACACACACACGCGGTTTTCTATTTTATTTTTGGATCCTTGGATACAAAATAGGATATTTATTATAAGGTTTAAATATGTTTACAAGCTTTGGTTTTTGAGATACCTATTTAAAGATATTTAAGCATGTTATAATACAAAAGATTGTCAACACCCTGTACATTATTTTTCAGAATTAATAATTAATTATTGTGCTGACTTTTTATCCAGAGAAATAAACTCAACTAAAAAACTTGATTGCTTCGTTAATGTATACAGGAGTATCAAAAATTGCTGGTCGATTTTAAATATTTATTTTACATAAAAACTTTGTTATTTCAATACTCTGTGTTTTTTAAAATAAGTCGGAGCAGATTTATATGCTCTTTCAAACTATATTAGAGTTTCCTATACCTATCTAGCTCATATTTTGAATAAATAGCAATTTTTCAATAAAATGGCAACCAAGGGAACTGGTCTCGTCATGGCAATAAGTTTCTAGTGACAGTAAGTAGCTATTTCAAAATCGACATTAGTTTGGTGGCGCACCTCCCACCCCGTATATATTTGGCTAGATCTCAGTGGTTATGCTCGAATGTGGAATACCCTGTATATTAGAAAACCGACGTAGATTTACCTTATCAGCATTGACTTCAGCAAAAAGGAAATTGCTGTCGTGTGGTCTTAGAATTTCTCCTTCTCTTACTGCTATAACTGATGCTGGTCCACATCTACAAGGCATATAAAAATCATAAATATCAAATTCCAATTAGAAATGATTAGAAATATTATTATTTTATGCTTTTACCTGTACATATCCTCACTAAGCTCTTGAGGTGTCGAATCTATGGCCTGCCAACCGCCATATTCTTTTCCCAAGTCCGGTCGCAACATCCACACTTCGTTCCAAACGTGGAAATTCCATACTGAGTCAGAATTAAGTTCATCCATTATGGTTCCATTCTTGTCCATGAAATAATCCACTGTTAAGGAATTTTGGGTGTCGTGAGCTGAAGAATAGTTGGTCACTGTCCTTGCTGGTATTCCCAGAGTTCTACAAACTAAAGAAATAAATGATTTTGTATAATAACCTGTAGTATTTCTTGTTAATAATATTTATATTATTTTTTTTAATAATAATATTTTTTCAAAGCAAAACCTTTGAAGGTGGGTAAAAGGACAAATAACTCACAATCTTTAAGTTGTTTAATTTACATTTTAATGCTTCAAAAAAGCAAGGGGGGCGACATGTTTCGAGAATTTAAACTATTCCCATCATCAGGCCCAAAAGACAAAAGTCAACCGGCAACCCAGGAAGTACAACCACTCGGAAGAAATAAAATTTGTTAGAGCTGTTAACATTTACACAACTCTCTCATTGTAATAATTATAAATTGTATAACTCTTCAAGAAGGAAGCCTTTCGTTGTAATACCAAATAAATGTCTATATCATAATTTCCAGACCATCTTATTTCAATTTTATATTTTCATTTTTGACGAGAATGACGTTCGTCTTAAAAGAATGTTTCTGTGATAATGTAAAATTAAAAATAATATTTTTGTTTTGTTGTAAAACTTAATCATCCAGTGAGATCCACTCTCTAGAGAATAGTTAGTCTTAATACAGTTCAAGAAAAACGGGCCGTTTTTTCGTGTGCACACAAGGATTTACTTGATACGTTTTGCCTGAACAGGTAAGAATGACAGGTAAAATATTATGCGTAGACGGGCCTTTACTTCTCGTATAACAAAAATCAATCATGCACCTACGAGACAACCATAAAGATGTTTATGTATGTTTCTATGACCTTGAACGGGAGTCGCTACCTTTTCAATGGAGATGACGAGTATCAGACGCCTGCAATTATTTAAATTAGATTTTGCAATTGCATAATGAATATTATTATTATTGTTTATTGTGTTCTCTCAGTGACATTTTAGTATTTTTAAGAATTTCAATCATCTGATGTTTTCTCTTTGATTTTTTTCGGATTTTATTTAGCAACTATGTTCGATATATAAAATTTAATAATACTAACTTCAGCCAGACATTGTAGTAAGCTATTTTTATTAGCTTTGTTCATCGCACTTCATAGGTCTCAAAAATTGCCACTTACTAGTAGTCAAAACTCCAGAAAACACCCAACACTGTCCATACTTCACCGGCTTCTTCTTTTTGAAATATTTCTGCAATATTTCCGAACTACCCAACCATTTGGTTGGGGCAGTACCGCCACTATGGTCCGTCGACCAGTTACCCATAACAGCTCCTTCGTCATCTGCCGCATTGACAGCTGCAGCCAAAGCCCGCGAAGTCCTCACTGGATCAGACCTGTCAAAAAAAAACAGAAATATGATAGGAATCAAAAACTATAAACCAATAAGCCTACTACCAGTAATATACAAAGATGTTCGCAAAAATAATAAAAAGAAGAATACAAAACACATTTAGATGCTGCACAATAAACTGAACTGAACGATACTGAACAATTAATGATACTGAATAAGCAGGCTTTAAAAGTTGAGGGTTGGAACCCTTGGTGGAAACTTTACTTTTGCAGTGGACGCGCGTTTCGCTAAATATGTTAACATCGTCAGCAGATGATTAAAACTAAACTACAGCTTGAGCGTTTATATAGGCGCTCAGTTGGCATCGAATAGGCCTGGCAAACTAGCCAAGCGAGACAAAACTAACCGAGCGGACCAATAATTACCGAAACTAGAGCAATAGGAGCAACGAACCGAATGGAATTATTGTCTCTGTTCATACTATCTTTAGGTTTATAAATTTTGATGTTCTCATGTGCATCTAATTGTCGGTAATTTCAGACTTATTATTTCTCTCCTTACCTGAAACTGCTCTTCACTTTACCAACAATATGAACAAGGTAAAGCGCACAATCTAAAACGTCTTTTTCAAATTGATCGTATTTCCATATCACAGGTTTAATCCTGTTGTAAGTTCCTCGGTATATTATACCCACGTCATTCAAAACTGATTCCTCTTTCCATTCCGGAGATTTCATAAACACCTGGTCCTGTTTACACCTGGAAACAACAGAAGAGTTTACTTATTCACAAATATCACTGAACATGTAAAAATTCTAACTGTAAGCTGTACTATAAGCTCTTACATCGGAAATGGGATTTTTTGTGTAGTGTATGCGAATTTACTGCAGTGAATTGTTGTACTTTTCATCTATATTTGATACCAATTAAACTTTTAGTTACGTAATCGAGGGTGCGATTTTTAAATTCAGTGTTGCCAACCATGACATATTCGGCGCCGTTCTGACTAACTGGAATTTAAATTTCCCGCTAGGGATTCAGGTGGTAGATCTGCTGTAAAAAATGTCAGGTTACCACATTTATTTATTTATTTCCTGACATTGTTATTCGTTTTGTATTACGAGTTTTTTGTTTAAATGAATTGTGTAGTGATACCTTAAACTTAAAAATTTTTACTAGCAGACCTTGCAGTCGAACATTGTTCTTTTTAGAACCTCTTCTAGTCGAATATTTTTTCTTTTAGTGCGAAGTCTACAGGGTGGTCGAAATTAGTCTGTTTTAACAGAGAAAACCTATTTCCTCACTAGATAGAGCAAAACCGACATAGATGTCATGGGCTCGATTTCTGAGACACGTTTAATGGCATAAACCGTCTGTTGATATTTTCACTGCCAACTGAGATACGGGGTCTTTTTGATTTTTTTACCATTTTGAAAATTGGGAAAATTAAAAGACCTTATATATAAAGGAAGAACTATGGGGACGAGAGAAGAATTGCAGAAGGCTACTAGGCAAGCTTTTGGACTTACACCAGTTCGCCTAATAAATCGCTGTAACTCTGTGCGCAAAAAATGTTTATTATGTATTCAACAAGGAGGTGCTCAGTTTGAACATCTTAGATGATTTTTTTAGAAAACGTCATATTCGAAATATTATATTCGTCACTCAAAAAATACGTTTTTTAGCTTTGTTTTTTCTATCGATTTCAATTGTAATTACTAAAATTAATATAGAATGTTAATTTACCTTTTCAAAAGTCTCTAATTATGCAGATAAATAATAATATAGAATATTAAATTTTGATAAAAAATAATTAGGCAACTATCAAGGCACACTTCGATACAAAGATAAAAAACCTAATATTTCTCTCATTCTTAGAAATAGCTACCCATAACTTTATATCGTTCGAAATGGTTAAACGTCAGCATTTTTTAAAGTTAGTGCTGTTAAGAGGTGAGTTTAGTTGATGTAAATAATGTTGTTTATATTACTAAGTTGATGTAAATAATGTTGTTTATAGTACTGTTTATATATTTACAATTAATTTACTTTTGTTTCCTAAAATATTTTGATTAAAAGAAAATATGTAAAAGTAGGCAACGCTGTACCGGTCAAGCTTAATCACGAGACTAAAAATGTATTTGAGATGATCTATAGATTGACATTATTATTAGCAATATTAATACTACGACAGTTCTAGTTACCCTATCAACTTAATATTCGCCATTACCCTACCATGGATTAAATAGTATATAAATTTTGGTCTCCCAGCTATAACTATAGGCTCCATCATCAATAATCCTGGTATCCACATCCAGTCTCCATTTGGCAACTATGGTATCCGGAGGTGTCAAAACATTAACCGTTATGGTATCTTCATGGACAGAATGCAGAACTACGTTCCATGGAAGGTACCTATCCGCTTTTTTCAACAGTGGTACACCCACCATCGTTCCTGAACCGTGAGTAGGTCTTTCTTCATCTTCAGAGAAAATAAAAGTTAGTTGTTCGTTTTGTTAAAAACATGTAACTATTTCTATGACCAGAACTCATGCCAATTAAAATTAAAATCCAATGTTGTCATCCAAAAATGATAGAAAATACAATTTATCGATCAATTAAAATGACATCAACTGACACTGTCGTGTATTCTCTCGTTGGAGAGACTTTCATTTTTTTCATCTGATCTATATCTACAGAGTGTATCAACCAAATAGTGCAACCGAAAACTAGGGTGTGTCATATACCAAAAACCAGTACCAGCTTTCTTATTTTAAAAGCCACGCCTTGTATATTATTCAATTTTTGGATTCTTTGGTTTGAAATGCACAAATTAATAATTCTACAGATTATTGGTTATTGAGATAACACCATTATGAATGCAAATGAAAGTTGCTCGCCTATACATGGTGCGTCTCAAAAGTAGCTCACCCGTATAACTTTTTTTATTTTTTCAGATAAAAGAACGACATTTGGTATGTTAGTACATGACATAAATTAGGATTGAATGACATATTCAATTGTTTTCGGTCACTTCCTGTTTTACCGGAAATTACTACAACTTTTGATTTTTAAATGGCACCATCGGTATATTTTTATTTTATTTGACAGAATCCTGACTATTCATTCTGAATAGAATGACATATTAAATGTCTTTGACATTTTCGCATATGGTTTATTTGAAACTGTAAAATGCGGTTCATAACGACAATTTGACTCGAAATGCCAAGTGTGTGGTACCAAATTATTCGTATAAAAATGCTTTTTCCAAATATGCCAATGAACCACCCTTGTTCCATTTGAAAAAATTGAAATATGATTAAAAATACAATTTGACAATCTTTTAACCGGTCAGGATAACATACGAAAAACATTAGACGATCAAATCTATTTTTCCAAGGCTCCTTGATTAAAAATTAATGTTTTTATACAGCTATGACACGCTAGATTGAAATTTAAAATACGATTTTTTTTAACGAAAATGTCAAAAGTTGACATAATATGATATGTCATTCTATTCAGAGTGTCATTTTTTATCAAATAAAGTAGAAATATACCAAGGGTGTCATTTAAAAATCTTAATTTATGTCATATACTAACATACCAAATCTCATTTTTTTCTTATCTGAAAAATTAAAAAAGTTATAGGGGGTGAACCACACTTTCGAGACGCACCCGGTATATTATCTATTGCCACTCGATGTTTTTAATACCTACTATTTAAACAGAAAAATAATAATATAGACTTACCATCTACAACAAAAATAAACGATATGCCATCTTTGGATTCATCATATGGTCTGCTCAGTGTGATTATTAGCTTAAAATGTTGACCTCTTCTTACTACCAGTTGTGGATAATGTTCTCTTCTCATTAGTTCGTATTTTGATGTCCTATGGTTGGCACCATTTTCATCCAAACATGGATTGATTGACCTGATTATCAAAATATTGGGTTCTTTGATTTTTTCTTCGAAAGTCAAGTTATCTGTTTCATCTGGAACATAAAAATCTAAATAAATAAAACAAAGTCAAACAAAGATACAAATTTAAAATATAATTTTTTTTGTCATTTTAATCAGAATGTAATTTTCTATCAAATAAATATATATGTGTAATAAAAATATACCCTCTGTATAATAAAAATATACAGAGGGTACCATTTAAAAATCAAAAGTTGTAGTTATTTCCGGTGAAACAAGAAGTGACCAAAAACAATTATTGAATACGTCAATCAATTCCAGTTTATGTCAAACACTAAGATCCAAATCATGATTTTTTATCTGAAAAAATAAAAAAGTTTTAGAGGTGAGTCAATTTTTCAAAACCACCAGGTATATCCCACTGTATTTATTATACTTTATTTATTCTTCTTTTCACATAAATCTCAAGAAGTTTCTGTTTTTGCGGTACCAGATGTAATCATTTAAAAACGTCTTATGTGGGTGGAATATGAAAGTAGGTAGTTGGAAAATATTTTGTTTTAAAAATGTCCAGAATGTTTATAGGCTAGAAATCGAACGAAAAATAATCGACTTACATTAAAATGCCGTGTTTAAAAATAGAATTTAGAAATTACTTTACTTTGAAACAAACATGCATATTGAAAATATTAGTAAAATTTTTGCAGTAAAAAAATAAATTTTGTGTATTTTGAAAAATGTAGCTATAACAAAATGTAACTGAGAATGTTTAAAATTCTAAAATATTGATATACGGAATGTCCCAATAAGTTAAAGTTAAAGTTGGACACAATTATTAACTTATTTTAATTCTAGAAACACAGTGTTGTTCTATTTTCACGAACTATTGGGATACCCTGTATAAAATAATAGAAAAGATTGACATTTAAAATGACGTTGAATGCTCTAACTGGCCTCGATATAACAAGAACTACTTAAATGTGTCATTCATAGAACTCTGATTAGTATACTAAATATTTATGAAATTTAAAACGGTATTTATTTATTTTGACAAAATATACAGGTTAGGAAAGTTGCGTCTCACTGAACCCTATACCATCTAGTGATGAACAAATGCAATAGCAAAACCAAGACTTTGCCTTTTTTTTCTTTTTTAATTTTTTCTTTCGCTGTCCGTCCGTCCGTCTGTCACAAAGGTCTATCTTATGAACCGTTATAGCTAGACAGTTGAAATTTTCACAGATAATGTATCTATGTTGCCGCTATAAGAACAAACTCTAAAAACAGAATTAAATAAATGTTTATAAATAAAAAAGTACTTTCACTAAACATTATCTTTTAAGTAAGAATTTTACATAGAATCTTTCAAGTCCTCGGTGGCCGTATGGTTAAAGCGTTAGGACTTTACGCTGCTATGACGTTGAAGCCGTAGTAAGGCAGGTTCGAATCCTAGTCAAGGCTACTTTTTTTAATCGTTTTTTTTTTTAAATTTTACATATTTTAACATATTTATTTTTACTTTTTACATATTTATTGTTCATTAATACAATTTTTAGTAATGTGTTTCTTCATTTTTTTTAAATTACTTATACGCACATTCAAAATTTCAGCTAAATCGGAAAAAAAGTTTATAATAATATAGTGTCTAATGTGGTATAGATAATGAATGGTACGGAACCCTTCGTGCACGAGTCCGACTCGACAAAACCAAACCAATTTTTTTTTAATTTACTCTAAAAAAATTGGAAAAAAAAATTTGGAAAAGTATAATCGAAATTGATGCATTTTTCTTAAAATGTTTATAAAAAAAATTATCTCTTGTAAACACAATCCTGGGACATAGTGTATAGAAATTTTACAATTATTTCAAACGTTTAAAAAAAGTTTGCCAAAAACAAAGTTGTAAGATATATGTGACTTAGTCCTTGGTTATCCACAAACGATTATTTTGCGAAACATAAAAAACAAATAAAATCATGTTTGCCTTGAACAAAAAACAATAAATTACGAGCTTTATGACAATTTTATGAATTATGAATTGTCTTTGAAAGAAATAGAACTGAATCAACAAAAACATCCTTATGTATTAGAAATATGATTAAACTTTAATAAAATCTTTGAGTAAAATTTCTAATAAAGAGAGCTATTACAAAACTAAAATTCTATTTAAGACTTACTAAAGATGACTAATATAATTAATTAAAACACTGCTGAAAGCTAAGTTCATTATAAAATTAGGCCAATAATTGTACTAAAAATAGAGTTTCTAAAAAAAGATATACCAAAAGTTTGTTATAAACTTTACCTGGAAGTGGTAATCTATTTGAAAGCACTGTTCTACAGGATGCGTCTCAAAAGTGGCTCACACCTATAACTTTGTTGATGTTAGTATATGACCAAAATTAGGATTGATTGACGTGTATTCAACTGTTTTTGGTCACTTCCTGTTTCACCGGAAATGACTACAACATTTGATTTTTAAATGGCACCCTCGGTATTTTTTTACTTTATTCGATAGACAATGACATCCTGAATAGAAAGACATATCATATGTCAAATTTTGACATTCTCGCTTAATAAAAAATTGTATTTTAAATTTCATTCTAGAGTGCCACAGCTATGTTAAAAACACTAATTTTTAATCATTGGAAAAATATATTTGATCGTTTAATTTTTTAGATCTTGTCCTGGCCGGTTAAAAGATGCCTAAATTTAATTATATCTCAATTTTTTCAAATGATACAAGGGTGGCTCATTAGCATATTTAGAAAAAGCATTTTTTTGCGAATTATTTGATACGTGTGTGGTATTTCGGTATATTTGGTATTTCGAGTCAAATTTTCGTCATGAACCGCATGTTATAATTTTAAATAAACCATACGCGAAAATGTCAAAAGTTGACGTCAATCAATCCTAACTTATGTTATATACTAACATACCAAATCTCGTTTTTTGTTCTAAAAATATAAAAAAGTTATAGGGGTGAGCCACTTTTGAGACGCACCCGGTATATCAAATAATATAAAAAAATACATTTAGTTTTAATTAACTTTGAATATAAGAAGCAATAAGTAGGTGGAATTAATCACCCTGTATAATATATAGAAAAATACATTTAGTTTTAATTAACTTTGAATATAAGAAGCAATAAGTAGGTGGAATTAATCACCCTGTATAAACGAAATAAGAAAACACTGAAAAACATATAAAAAGAAAAAGCTACAACATTGTACTTAGTAGATTTTTGTAAACATAAGTCCAAATTATTATTCTTCTCCAACTCAGTTTATAATACCTAGGGCCTAGTAAGAGCAAATTGTGTTAAAAACATTTAGTTAGTAGTGCTACAATTTGTAAAATTGATTTTTTTATTTAAATTTCAACGAGTACAAACTACAAACTCAATATTGTTTGACACAAATTGTGACAATCCATTACCACCACGCTATTTTCGTATAAAATTAAGCTATAACTATTTTGGAAATCTACAAATTGATAGAAATAAAAGCTACACTGTGATGCCTAGTATACTATTTTAGAAGTAAAATACACCATTGTTTTCTAGAATTGTGGGGTTTATTATAATGTTTTTTTCTGTGAAATGTTGGGAGATAAAAGTATTACAAAAATATTTAATAAAAGAAAACATTGATACGTTACCTCTTTCTTTAACCTCAATCGCTTCCTCAGGTTTAGGCAAGGGCTGCAAGGATATGTCACTTTTTGGGGACCAACTGCCCCTAAACCAAGGCCACCGATAATGGCAACACCGACTTCTTGTACCTCTCATATTTAACTTTTTTTTTTATTTATTTTCTTTAATATTAAATTAACAATATCATTTAAATAATTATTTTATTATAAAACCAGTATAATTTTGCTGCATAATCTTATAAAAACTAACACAATATTATATTAAATAAAACTGAAAATAAATAGAAAGAAATTTCGAATTTAAGTATAGTTTTATGTCATTAAAACGGTTGGAAGAACAGATATATGATTCTTTTAGTATTTTTAACTAAAAAAAATAAGGAACACAAATTTTTATACTATAAAAAATTATTTAGAAAATGACTGAAATTTTCAAGAAAAAATTTCTTCTCCGTATTTTCGCACAAAATATTAAAAAAACTCACTGTCACTAAACTTAGCTTATATATTTAAATCTATCAAGTCTATAACGCGTTTAAGTGATATATTCTGACCGGTGTATGTCTGACCAACTGACCGACCATGCCTAGAGATGCTGACCTTAGATGTATGGCGCTGGAACAGTAGTGAGTTAAGTATATACGACATAACAACGAGATGTTTCGTATATATCTTCTATCGTCTGACGTAAGGTGTGTAATATTTAAGAGGATATATTTAACTTTGTTATCTAGACTCTAGACTCGTTAATAAGAAGAACAAATATTTTTATATTTGATCTCAGAATGAATAATCTATTGATCATTTATACGAGGTTACTCATAATGATATAAAACATTTGGTTTTAAAAATGTATCTATTTTTTCCGCAGTAGAATTTTTTTCAGCATTGTAAATATACAGGGTGTCCCAGAAATAAGTGCAAATATTTTAACTGGTAGTATAGTTCAACCCCAGAAACACGCCTATGAGGTTTTTTTCGCGAAAAAAATATTTTGAAAAAATTTTTGGATTTTTTTAGCATTTAGTTAAAAAACATAATTTCTTGATAATATGGCAACATTAGGTAGTATATTAAATTTACAAGAAAGAAAATCCAGAAAAGAACCAGTGGTTCTCAAAATTTGAATAAAAAAATAATTTTTTTGGAAATTTTCAAAGTAAAATAACTCGGTTATTTTAGACTTATTTGAAAAACGATAAAGAGAAAATATTTAATTTCTTTTATCGAGATCTACCACCTCTTAAAATACTTGCACTTATTTCTGGGACACCCTGTATAAACAGTTATTACTTACATCAACAAATATCATCTTCTTAACAATACTACTTATTATTACCGCTTTCTCCTTCAAAATATTCTAATAAAGTTGCGATGAGTTTTTTACGGCTATTAAGCTATCTTGTACACTTCGCGCTAAAAGAGGTTCTAAAAAGAACAATGTTCAATTGCAAGGTCAGCTAGTAAACATTTTTAAGCGTAAAGGTATCATAACACTATTTATTTAAACTAAAAACGTGTCAAAACAAATGAGAATGTCAGGAAATAAATAAATAAATGCGGCAACCTGACATTTCTTGTAGCAGAGCTACCACCTGAATCCCCAGCGGGAAATTTAAATTCCAGTTAGTCAGTCATGGTTGACACCAATGAATTTTAATTTAATTAAAATTTAAAAATTCACTGCGATAAAAGGTTCATTCTCACATCATCCAAAAACTGTCTAAAATAGTTAAATTAGTAGGTAATCTATGTTTTTTTGTTTACGAATGGCTTATGTGATCAACTACATTTGACAAGTTTCTGACCGGTTTGGATGCCTTGTGGGGATCACAACAGGCTTCTTGACAGGACACATGGCTGTCAAGTGTTACCTGAACAAGCTCAACTTGTATCAAGGAAGTATTTGCTGCAGACTCTGCGATAAAGATCCTGAAACAGCGGAGCACATAATATGACACTTTTTATTTGCGAAAGCTAGGCTAGAACCGGAGGAACTATGCTCCCATCCTATCAAGGACCTGCATAAGCTAGTGCAGGGCACAGGGATTGGAGAATGGGTGCAGTTATAGAAAGGGGACAAACACAACAGGCCTCACAGGTCGCAGGGTTTCCGGCAAAGGACGGACCCTTGTCATGAAAAAAAAATGCCCTTGTGGGAACAAACCTAAATTCGCACACCCTACACAAAAAATCCCACTTCTGATGAAAGCGATATCTCACATAATAATGTTATTTAGATGAAAATAAATATTGATCAACAACTGACGATCTACACGGTTTGTTATTAAATAATTAATACTTCTCATATTCTTAAGTAGCGCAGTTCTTGTAGATTGACATAGAATAAATCGTTTTAATGTTAAGGGAACCTTCGACTATAAGATAATAGATGCATATTTCTACAGGACCTCTAACACATGCAAAGTATTTAAAAACAATATTTTTTGCGACAATATAAAAAAGTCATTTTAACGCCTAGGCATAAAAGTAAAGCACTTTTACGCCTAAGCATAAAAGTACGAAAATATTTTATTAAACTGACATAAAGTGTCAGATTCAACGAGCGTAACCATATTTTCTCGATATATTATTACATAGAAGGCATGACTTTTAAATATTTTTATATTATTTCGAACGTTTGAAATTGTTTAAAAACTTATTTGTGGCGTTTGAAAAAAATAGCATGTTCTATTCGGAGTAAAAATGTCTTTTTGTGCCTCGGCTGAATGTCAAACATACAGCCTCGCCACAAGTATCATTTGTAACCCTAATAAAACGATATACTATTTTTAATAAAATAAATTCCTTTAATCTGGAGTTAAAATAAGTTAATGACAAAGAATCATCCAGAATAGGCATAATGCACAACTATTGTTCTCTTTAGAGTAATTTAAAATCTGGTATATCCTCTTAAGACTTTGATCTTAACCATATGTGATTGGAGGCTTCACAGAATCTCTAGAGATTTTACTTGTGAGTCACCCAACACTTTTATTTTTAATGTGTGTTTACATTTTTATTTAACGTCTGATACAGTAGTCAATTAATTTATTTGTTTAAATTTACAGAGGAATTTTATAGGGTGATTGAACAATGAGTAATAAATTATCAATATAATATAAAAATAATTAAAAAGTATTACTATTACTATAACAGAAAGAAATTCCTAACATAACTAGTTTTAAAAATAATACTAATTGTATTTTAGGAAAATTATTTATTTTTACATTATAACTATACTTATTCATTGCAACACTGTAAAGAAATAATGATGGATAAATTATTCTGAAAGAATATTTATACTGGGTGAGTCTTAAATAAGTGCAAATATTTTTAGGGGTAGTATATTTCGACCCCAAAAACACTACTATGATGTTTTTTCCCGCGAAAAAAATTGAAAAATTGGATTTTTTTAAATTTTTATTTAAAAAACATAATACCCTCATAATATGGCATCATGGAGAGTAGAATAAATTTACAAGAAAGGAGTTCCAAGTTCTAATGGTTCTCAAAATTTAAGCGAAAAATCATTTTTTTTTTAAATTTTCGAAGTAAAATATTTCCGATATTTTGGACTAGGTATTTGAAAAACGGTACAGAGAAAATATGTTTCTTTTATCAAAATCTACCAGCCCTGAAAATATTTCCACTTATTTAAGACACACCCTGTAAAATAGTAGCATCTATTTTTCAGACATACTATACGAGGGTACTCCTATACAGAGATTTTTTTTCAGGTCAGATATAAAAAACAATTAAATGAAAAAATAAAAATTATTTATTAAATACTTATCTCTAAAATACAACTTTTAATACGTCATATATTAAAGTAAACATCAGAGCTGCAATTCTTAATTCAATGTTTACATAATCAATAATATAGCCTACACTATATAAAAAATTGCTCATGCTTAACGCTAAAAACTTACAACTACTTGTGAATATACAGATGTAAAAATTAACATTTTTAAATGTTTTTTAAGGAATACCAAAAAAAATCAGTGAAAAATTTGTCTCCATGTACTTTTAATTCAAGAAGTTAACAACAATGTAATAAAAAAATAAAAAATCTTATTAAAACTATTTTCAAAAGACAGTAAATTGTTAAAATATAAATATTCAACTCACATCTCTGGTATTTACAAAAATTTGTTTTTATTCTTTTAAAATTATTCAATGGTAACACTTATACTAGCAGAAATATTTTGTATCTGCTTACTAGTGAAACTGACCACTATTTTCCGTTCACCAACTTTTCTAGCAGTGAAGCTCTCTGTGATAGCTACATCTTCATTAGGGTCAATATCACGGAAGTCCACTTTTTTAGGTTTTTGCAGTCCTGGACCTTCCAAAGTGTATACACAGCTTGTCAGTGGAAAATTGAGAGGATTTTTGAATCTGAAATGAAGTAGAAAAACATCTCATTAATTTTTCATAAAAAAAATTATGTACCTATATTCTATAGCAACATTCTATAGCTTACTTGAAGCTGACTTCACAAGGTTGTCCTACTTTGAAGTCTCCAGAAACGTCAATGGCCATTTTGGGAAGAATCATGGTAAAATCATCCTCTTCACTCCATGTTTGTTTGGTTTCCTCCACGCTGGCAATGGCGTATATTTTGATCAGTCCATGATCAACCAGTTTTTCGATATACTCTTCTGGAGTCACGTGGATTCTTAAAGTTTCTTTCTGACCACCAGCAACCTAAAGAAAAAAAACAACACTCAAAAAAAAAGCATATAAAAATAAAAAAACTACATTTTACTTAAATTTTTATAAACATACAACGCAAAGATAATATGCATAACGCACAATTGTTGTATTAGCTAAGTTATTTTTTTCCATAGTAACTGTTAAAATTGCCTTATATCTATCAAAAATAGTAGATAAAATAGCACTTTAACCGCAAGGGTAGATTAAATGATACTTTAACAGCAAGGATAGGTTCAAAAACTTTATTTCTTCTCGTACGTTTTTTAATTGCTTCCATTTTTTGAAATTTTTGTATTCCTTTTCATAAGTTATTCGGGATTTAAATGGAAGTAGTTTGGATATATATTTTTTTTATTTGGAAGTAGTTTGGATATACGATGATACGGTTATAATAGCCAACGATATACAAGAACTGCAAAGCATTATAGATTCCATAGTCCACTATAGTGAGATGTTTGGACTGCATCTCAGTGTCTCCAAGACCAAACTATTGGTCTTTTCTAAGACTCCAATAAATGCACACCTGCGTGCCAAGGGACAAACAATCGAACAAGTGACCTCAATAAAGTATTTATGAGCTAACATCAATAGTCAGTGCGACCCGAAAAGAGAAATATTTTCAAGAATTGAACAAGCGAGAAAAATCTTCGTGAGAATGAAATCATTTTTTTTTCAGACCTCAGTGCAGAACTCAGAACTCGAATGGCCAGATGCTACGTCTTCTCTGTGTTACTCTATGGATGTGAGAGCTGGACACTGGATTCACAGACCGAGAAGAGAATAGAAGCCTTCGAAATGTATGTATACAGACGGATGCTGCGAATCTCATGGGTAGAAAGGATCACCAACGATGAAGTACTCCAACGCATGCAGAAACAAAAAGAGATACTGAACACCATCAAGAAAAGAAAAATGCAATACCTGGGTTATGTGATGAGAGGTGGTAGATACGAAATACTGCGCCTCATAATAGAGGGCAAAGTGCAAGGGAAAAGATCAGTAGGAAGACGCCAGAACTCATGGCTATAAGATTTGAGGAACTGAGAAGATGGTTTAACCGCTCGTCTGCGGAAATCTTCCGGGCTGCAGTTTCCAGAGCAACAATTGCCATTTGGATCGCCAACCTTCGGCAGGAGGGCGTGATAAGAAGAAGAAGTTTGGATATGGGGTTTGTCGCCTCAACCTGAATATATGTTGGTAATTTACTTATTTCGTTTTGAACCATTTCTGGCTCCAATTCAATCAGCAATCGACAAGAAAGAGAATTAAAAAACATTGACTCGAAACTGACAACTAAAGAGACAGCTTTATTTATTTGTCAAATTACATAGAAACTAACGCCAACCCAGCACAATATTTTTTCTATTTGTAATAAATTCTTTGAAATAATAATTTCTGAATATTTTTTAAAACGTAACTCGCTATGGAAAAAAATATTGTTTTATACAGGACGATAAAATTACATTATCGTCTCGTATAAAATTACTTTCATCGCCCGCGAATTAATCTTTTCAGTCGACGATAAAATACTTAATAAATTTTATCGTCTTGTATAAAAAATAACTAATTTTTCTTCAACTCAATTTAGAATAGTGCCTAGTAACAGAAAATTGTGCCAAAAAAATATAATTGGTAGTGCTTCAATTTGCAACAATGATTTTCATTTAAAACCATAAGTCCATATTGATTTCAGGACTATTATTTTTCGTGAATAGTTAACGTTATTTTTTATTATTAAAATTCATTTTATTATTAAAAAACAAACTTATTCTCATATGTGAACCATTTATCTTAAAGACACTGTATAAAAAATGAACCAATAATGAGTAATATATTAGAGCTAAATTCGCAGTTTAGTAAACCAGTTAGAAAATATATTCACAAATCCTTGAGCAACACCTTCCTTTGATATTATTTATAGATAAAAAATATTGCCTTTTTTATTCAAATGGTCAAAAACAATAAACTACTTTATTACTAACAAGCTTACAAAGAATTCTGAGTAATTTACAAGACCAGGTAGGACAGGAATAGTTAGTCATGACAGCGAGACCTTCTTATTGAGTAATGGTTCTTTCTTGAATGAGAAAATCATCATTTTTTAAAGATATGTCTTCTTAGTTTCTTGTTTTAGTTCTTATTATTTTTTATATTTATATTTTTTTATTATAAATATATATATGGAATAAAGGTACAAACTTTGATTCTATGTTGACATTAAATTTCCTTCTTCAAATATGTTTTTCTTTCTACTATTAAAATACCGCTATTAAAAAGTGTACGACCCTGTATAAATCTCACCTTAAACGTTCCCTGTGACTTCTTAATATCACTTCCAGCAGCCCCTGTATAATATACCGATGCCGAACTCAATACAGCACTGATACTCCTCTCATCATTTGATTTATTCTCAATTTCAACAACAACGTCGAAACTCTCACCCAAGGGCACGGTATCAATATCAATGAGATCGAAAAAAACGTCTCCTTCGTCTTGGGTGGGTATCTCATAGAATTGTTGAGCCTTTGGTACGCCTCTGACCGCGTTGTAGACTGCCAAGCGTTCAGCTGGGGTGTTTTCGGGGTTCTTATACAAGTAGGTGACGTCCCAGAGGTCAGAGTCACCTTGTTCGTCAGTGATGTGGATGCTTTTGGTGATTATCTTTCTACCAACACTGCAAGAAGAGAATCAATGTGTTAGAAAGACGTACAAAGAGTTATTTAGATCATAGAGTGATTTAGTTAGAAACTTTTAAGATTAATAAACGTAGGGTTAAAGATTAATTTTTCTCCAAACATAGAGTACAAGAGGGACAAAAGGGTTGCGACAAAAAGGCAGAACGTTCGCCAAAATTTACGGTAAATCTAATAAGATAAGACAGAAACAACTTCTAATCAGTTGTAGAACAACAACTTTATGTCCAAAATAACTAAACTAAGGCCTATACAGGGTGGGCCACTGAAAACTTGGCTATAATTTTTAAACCAAAAAAGATATCAAAAAAATAAAAAATACCGTTTCAATAATATCGAGGGGGAACACATATGACGTATTTTTTGAACCACCCCCATCTACCTCTTAGGCGGCACCCCTACTCACCTGAAAATCTTAAATGGCAACACCCCACTTGTGGCGCCTTTTTGGAAAGCCCATGAAAAATACTAAACGATGATCATAAAGTTTTTAGGGTGAAATTGAAAAACCTTTACACGAAAAACCCTTACACGAAAAATTACGTGGACATTAATGAAAAAAGTTATTTTTTCAGCATAAGTTACAAATTGATGGAACCCAGCTAAATGAGGCAAATTAGATATTTTTCAAACCACCCCGACCCACCCCTAGGTGCCACCCCCTCACTTCTAATCTCAAGATAGCGATACCCCACTTGTGACACCTTCTTTGGAAAGCTAATTGAAATTGCTAAACGATGCTCATAGAGACTTCAACTTAATTGCTAGTAAGTAGTGATAAGAAATGTAGGTGTGACAATTTGAAAGAAATTTAAAATGATAATTTATTTTAACAATTGCTCAAAATGACATTGGCGTAACTACAGGGGTATCCGGGGTTGCCAGCCCCCCCCCCCTGTTACTGCTGGGCACCCCCCAGGGAAATCCCGAATTATGACTCTTGGCTACGTATTAATTTTTATTTGCTTGTGATGCAGTAAAAATGGCGTTTTCTAGTTTTGTTTAGTTAATATTACTTTGTTGTGTTCAAAAATGTGTTAATTTTAATTTTTTTAGAAAATTTGTAGGTATTTAAGTAATATACGGGAACACGGTTTGATAACCAAGTCTATGAAATTTATTGATAGAGAAATTCATGTAAAACGTTTTATTAAAAAAATGTGTTTTTTAAAATTATTGTTCATTTAAAAAAAAAAGCCCTAGGCCCCCCTGGGCTGAACACCAGGCCCCTCCCAGGCCCACCCCAGGATAAATTGCTAGTTGCGCTAATGCAAAATGACAGCTGTTTTGTTCCATACAAAAATACAAACGATTTTCAAATTCTTCCCTCACTTTTTGTAAAGTCTCTTCCGGAATATTTCGACATGCTTCAGTTATCCTCTGCCGCAATTCTTGCAACGAACCTAGTTTTGTTTTGTAGACTATGGATTTAGTGTAACTGCGAATCAAATAAAGGTATAAAATACCACCAAATTTGCAAACGATTGAAAATCGATAGAAGGCAGTACAAAAGACAAACGCAAAGATATGCCATTTTAAGATTCCTGTTTGTTGAAAGTAAACAAATAGATGATGAGGAAGAATATGCGTTGTCGCAAAATTATGCTGAACGATTAGTAAACATCTTTGTGTTGCCTTTTTTATTATCTACATTTTTTATTTTTAGCTTCAAAATGGCAATAGTTTCAAAATGGCATTGATGAGATTACAAGTGAGGGGCTGGCACCTAGGGGTGGGTCGGGGTGGTTTGAAAAATATCTAATTTGCCTCATTTAGCTGGGTTCCATCAATTTGTAACTTATGCTGAAAAAATCACTTTCTTCATTAATGTCCACCTAATTTTTCGTATAAGAGGTAGTTTTTCAATTTCACCCTAAAAACTTTATGATCATCGTTTAGCATTTTTCATGGGCTTTCCAAAAAGGCGCCACAAGTGGAGTGTTGCCATTTAAGATTTTCAAGTGAGTAGGGGTGCTGCCTAAGGGGTAGGTCGGGGTGGAAAAAAATGCGTCATATGTATTCCCTTTCGTTATTATAGAAACGGTATATTTTATTTTTTTGATATCTATTTTGGTTTAAAAATTATAGCCATTGTAAGTTTTCCGTGGCCCACCCTGTATATATACGTGACTCTTTCAATTCTGTTTTCTAATTCATTTCTATTTCTAATTTTAACGTTTCATCTTGCATATTTAGAATATCCTTAATTTTTACTCACTGGTATTTGTTAATGGACATCCTGGAGAATCCCCAGTCTGATTCTTCGTCTTCTTTAAAATGGACAATGTCAGCATTTACCTCGGAAAACACAAAAGGGGTGTCATACAGATATCCAACTTCACCTGTAAGTAAACATCGTTAAAAATTACATTAACATAATAGTAAAAGCTTATCTCTCCAAAAAATCCTATATGCGTATTTCGCCACTGCAAAATCTACAAAATAAAATAGTTATTTTTTGTAAACACTTCTGGCGTTAAACCCAAACGGAAACTACTTGTCAGAAGTTAGGTTTACAGTTACACAAACTTGCCTAACAAAGAAAAAAATGCTTAACGTTTCGGAAAGTTTCTCTTTCCGTCGTCAGAAGCAAAAAAAATACAAAGAATAAAGATTGTAGACGTATCTGTTTTAGTAAAACTAAAGTGTTCTCGAATAGTTGAATTTAAATATTTTAAATAGTTTTTTTCTTGAGTGATATTGAGTAAGTAGTGATGCTATTTCTCATTGTTCTTGCTTCTTTTCTCTTTTGAAATTTCTGTAATTTTTATTAGCAATTATTGACGTTTAAATATGATATTTTCTTATTTAGTACAATGTGTTGATCAATGTATTAGTTATCCAATAAAAATCACTTAACCAATATATTACTACAAAACAAACACATTAGTATTAAAATTAATCTTGTTTTAAATTTAAAAAAAAAGTTGTAGAAAATCTTTGAAATAGATAATAATATAAATATATGTCATTATATATTTTCCCGCATGTGTTCCCATCAGAAGATTTTCAGATACAGAAGAATTGTTACTTACACCAAATGTGAAAATATTCTGTCTTCAAGCAAATTTTTACTCGATGATCAATATTTTTTATTTTATTTTATTGTGAACTCATATTTTCCTAAATACATATCTGTGAAACTATGGCGAGAGCCACGACTATACTTTGCCTAGTTATAGACCACGACTATACAGCTACGTCAGTGGTCACGGGACGCGAGAACAAGGTCATATAAAGTGGCAGAAAAAGAACAAAGGATTTGACAAGGAGTAAAACTAGTTTCCTTATACTATGCTAAAATGTTAAGCATTTTGTCAGTTAAGCAAATTTGTTTTACAAGTAAAAATAGCTTTTTTATTTTACAGATTTTCTTAGAATGGCAAAAACCCATAATTTTTTAATTTATATTATTTTAAATAACGTTATAATTTTTTTTATTACCTTTTTGTACTGCAGCAATCGAAGCTGGTCCGCACCTGTATACTTGGTCACTTGTTTCTTGAGGAGTGGCGTCGATGATTTGCCAGCCGCCGTATCCAGGGGGCAGGTCCGGCCTGGCCATCCAGACGTCGTTCCACACATGGAAATTCCAGCAAGAATCTTTGCAATCCACCTCTTCGCTTTCTTCAATTTTATTGCCAAACATGTCAAAGAATCTGCACAAAATAATACTTATTTATTATACGGAATGTTTCTGAATTTTGTCCGATATTTTACAGGGTGATTTTTCAACTATTTTTAAGTTAAAATGTTCGTATAAACATATGTTCTAAAATGCTTCGTTTTTGAGATACAGGATGTCAAAGTTTTAAAAGTCTATTACGCTGTACTTTCGGGTCGCTTTCAGGAGCCGGGTAAAGCGGGTGTGTAGCCGAAAGAAATATAAATTATATTTCGGAAATCTGCCTAAGGCTTAGCCCGATCCTGTCGTTATAAGCCACACCCAAAATCCTAGACACACGTGCTCTGATTAAAGCTTGATTAAGGTTTGCAGAGCTTCAGCATTTGCCATAAAATAGCGAGCAATTTGTTACAAAACCATATAAGTTATATATCACTATAATCACAAAACTTCAATCTATTTCCGTATTGTAACAGACTTTTAAATTATGTCTTTATTTTCGAGAAAATTTAGGCCAAACATAAGGAATATTTTATTCAGGGGCGCCGACTACGTGGGTGCTCGGGTGGTTCAGCACCCACGAGAGGAAAACAGTGGGTGCGGAGCACCCACGAGCATAAGCCTCAAAGCTAATTCAATTTCAATTTCAATTTAGCAACTTTAAGCGACACTTATCTCATCAACCGTAAAACAAGAGGTCGCTCAAAAACTGCAGAAAGTCCATTGGAACATGCATGATGCGCATCATACCGCGGTAGTATTTCAAAGAAATTAATTTCAATAGTTCTAACTAACTAAGTTTCCTCTTCCATTCTTAGGTTTGTAAACCAATCCTATTTTTCAACTTTTAAATCAGTAAGCAAATTGACATGGGAATAATTATTTCCTTTATGTAACAAATCTTTGGTGTATTTGCTTTTACAAACTAACCGTTGTTTTTATGCTTTTTCTTTATTGCACAAGTGAACAAAATGCAAGACAAAACTGTATCTGGGCAGGCCATTTTTACTTAGAAAAAATGTGCTGAAGTCAGTGCGTCACATTATCACATACTACAGTTGTTCATTGTAGATACAACTGTATACCTACTATGAAATTACGTGTGTGCAACAGGCTGTAATACAGGTTAAACTGCGCAAACTGACTTGCACCAAAGTTTACAGAATAAAATATCTTGCACGTTCCGCCTGTGTTAAATAACTGAGAGTCTGTGGGAGCTCTAAAAGAGTTTATATATTCATATAATTATTATTTTAAATTGGAAGTGAAATTTAAACTTCTTTAGGAACACCATATAAATTTATGTCGTTCCAAACGAAATCCGTCATTTTAACAATACCGACTGACGTCAATTTTGAACATTTCTGATTTCTTGTCAATCAATTTAGCGGGCTACTAAGACATGTGCTTTGTGGTTTGAAAGGTCGTTTATCTTGTGATATTTTCAAAAAAAAAATGTTTCAATGGATAAATTTGTCGGGCGAAATCCTAAGCAGAACTAAAAACTCTAAAAGAAATAATTCAAAAAAAAAAGTATTTTTTAGAACTTAAATTATACTCAATAGAATTGCAAAAATGACATAAAATGATATAGTATTTTCCTAATGTTTTATCAGTGTAAAAATGTGTAGTAAATACAACAATTGGAACATTGTTCTGATAATGGATTGACAATCTGGAAATTTGTTTACATTTACCCATATCTGATGAGGACTCACGAGCTTTTATAAAAGTCGCCGCCCCTGATTTTATTGATGTTTAACCATCAAAGTCTAAAAATGTGCTACAATACGGATATAGTACAATCCTTTATCTTTAATTTCCCTCTTCATTTGTATAAAAATACCTAGCCAGTTTTACATAAAACGTTAAATGCCAAACACTTATTTTGCTACTTTTTCGGACTTAAGAAAAAACTCGACATTTTCTAATTATGTTCTATAAGTAAATACTAAAATAATTAGTAAGTATACTTACTTATCAACTGTCATAGACCTGTTGGTATCGTGAGCAGAAACATAGTTCGTTGTGGATCTACAGGGTATTCCCAAAGTCCTGCAAACAGTTACTGTAGCGCCGGAAAAGACCCAGCATTGTCCATATTTGACTGGGTTGCCTCCAGATTGGAGGAACTGGTCCATGATAGCATGAGATCCAGTCCAGGCAAATGGCGAGGTACCATCTTCGTAGTTGCCATCCCAACGGCCTTCCACAAGACCATCATCATCAACAGAATTCACCTTAAAAAAATATTTTTTGTATGCTTCAGTATTTCTTGGTATAGCTTAAAGAACGTTTTGTAAAGACTGTTAATTTTATTTTAAAATACTATATCTTAAAGAAATAATGAGTAGTATCAACCACAATCTAGTACAACTTTTAATTTATCTACTATACTGTATAGAATTTAATTCTATTAAGTCCAGTATCTAAGCAGATTCCGTTCATTACTGCATTTCTTTGGTATTTTTCAACGAAAAACTTGATTTTTTTAAATAAACCAGTATTGTCTAATCCCTGAACTTTGTCACTAAGAATACGTAATGAAACTGAATACAAAAAATATATCTAGGATTTAAAAAATATCTCTTACAATGTATTGTTTTTATTTATTTTTATTATTTTTATAGCATTAACAAATTTAAATTTAATTAAAGTAGGTATTTAATTTTTATTTTCATGATAACTTTAATTATTAAATAATATTAACTGTTTTAGTTTATCAGCGGCTTTAGATCAGTTTTTGGCAAAAGAGAACTTTTACCAAAATAATAATAATCTATACTAATATATAAAATCCTTAAGTGACTGACTCACTGATTAATCACGATCCTGCTCAAACCACTCAACGTAAGAAGCTCAATTTTGGCATACAGGTTGATTCTGAGGTGTAGAGGTTCGATAAGAAAGGATTTTACGAAATTCTAGTTCCAAGAGGGTGAAACCACCCCTCAAACATTACAATATTTTTTATTTAAAAAACGGTCAAGTTTCCGAAAAAACGCTTAAACACGCATATTTTATTTTGTTTTTTTACATATTTTAAGATTTTTTAAAAATGTATACAGGGTGTTTCGAAAAATCCGGTAATTGATTAATCACGATCCTGCTTAAAGCGCTTGACGTAAAAAGCTGATTTTTGGAAAACAGATTGACTTTAGGGTGTAGAGGTTCGATAAGAAGGGATTTTTCGAAACTCGAATTCTAAGGGGGTGAAACTATCCCTCAAATATTAAAATATTTTTATTTAAAAACTGGTGAGTTTTTCGGAAAAATCTTAAACACGTATATTTTATTTTGTTGTTTTACACATTTTAAGATTTTTTACAAATTTATACAGGGTGTTTCATAAAATATGACCATTGATTAATCACGATTCTGCTTAAACTGCTTGACGTTTAAAGCTGATTTTGGGCAATCGGATTGACTGTGGGGTCTAGAGGTTCAATAAGGAGGGGTTTCTCGAATCTCAAATTCCAAGAGGGTGAAAACGCCCCTCAAATATTACAATATTTGTTATTTAAAAAACGGTTAGTCTTTCGGGAAAACGCTTGGACAAGTATAATTTATTTTGTTTTTTACATATTTTGATTTTTTTTAAAAATCATACAGGATGTTCCAAAAAGTTGGGTAATTTCTTAACCAAGATTTTGCTTAAACTGCTTGACGTAAAAATCTTATTTTTGGCAAACGGATTTTTCGAAAGTCAAATTTCAACGAGATGAAACTACCCCTCAAATATTACCAAGTTATATAATAATATCGCCATATTGTTTTTTCTCATGCTGACATAAATGTGAGAAAATTTTATCCAGTTTTTATGTTAATGGAAATTCTTGCTTTGATTTATCATCACCATTACAAATGATTAATTCGACGCGAACGAAATCGCTGGTACACGCTAGTAAGATAATAATCTAAAATAAAAGGTAATAATCTAAAATAAAAGATATCTAAACAATTTGATAAAATTACAGTATTTCGTGAAACTATGCAAAAATATTAGATTTGTAAAAGTCGCTTTTTAAATATGCTGAAATATATCCATAATATTTTTTCCAAATTTACTTATTCAAGGTGTCCCACAAATAAGTGCAAGTATTTTAACTGGTAGTATAGTTCAACTCCAGAAACACGCCTATGAGGTTTTTTTCACGAAATTTTTTTTTGGAAAATTCGAAATTTTTTGAAAAATTTTTTGGAAATTTTTTTAGTTTTTAAAAAACATAATTTCTTGATAATATGGCAACATAGGTAGTAGATTAAATGTACAAGAAAGAAAATCCAGAAAAGATCCAGTTGTTCTCAAAATTTGAGCAAAAAAATCATTTTTTTGGAAATTTTCAAAGTAAAACTTCGTTTTTTTTTTCGACTTATTTGAAAACGATAAAGAGAAAATATGTTTCTTTTATCGAGATCTAGCACCTCTTAAAATACTTGCACTTATTTCTGGGACACCCTGTATATATTCTTCAGTTAACTGAATATTGTATAATATGACTGAACAGATAAGACGCAACATTATGTGTAGAGGAGACCTTAACAACTTAGCAACTATGCCAATATGTGTTTTAAATCATTTCTTTGAAGCATGAAGGTTTACAAACAATTTAATGCTGTTAAATAATTTTAAATGAAATAACATGGAGATCTGTAAAAGTTTATAAAGTATAAATAGACAGTAATGTGGTATCATCTCTGTTTAAACACATAAAAAATTATATCAGAAACAGTTATGATTTAATTGAAATAATATATTTTTGTATATAAACAAGCTATTAATAAGTCCTTCGCAGAAATGGTGCTAATATTGGTTATTAGGGTTCAAGGTCTAACCAACGCGGATTTATATAAAAAAACTGTTTTTTGGCCATCCTAATTTAATGTTTGGTATTTTGATTAACGATCTACTGGTCTTAAAATAATATCTGTTATATAATAGGGATATAGAATATAGAATTAAATATGTGTTACCAGTGCTGTGTTAAAAACACTAATGTTTAATCAAGGAGCCTTGGAAAAATAGATTTGATCGTCTAATGTTTTTCGTGTCTTGTCCGAGCCGGTTAAATGATGCCCGAATCGTATTTTTCATCATATCTCAATTTTTTTCAAATGGAACAACGGTGGCTCATTATCATAGATATTTAGAAAAAGCATTTTTTACTAATAATTTGATACCACAGACTTGGTATTTCGAGTCAAATTGTCGTTATGAACTGCATGTTACAATTTCAAACAAACCATATTGCGAAAATGTCAAAAGTTGACATACGATATGCCATTCTAGTCAGAGTGTCATTTTCTATCATATAAAGTAAAAAAATACCGAGGGTGCCATTTAAAAATCAAAAGTTGTAGTCATTTCCGGTGAAACAGGAATTGACCGAAAACAATTGACTACGTCAATCAATCCTGATTTATGTCATATACTAACGTACAAAAAATCGTTTTTTTTATCTGAAATAAAAAAAAAAGTTATAGAGGTGAGCCACTTTTGAGAAACACTCGGTATTGACCGGAGTTGCAAATTGATAAAATTATGTGATTATGTTTTTCTAATATACTTACAATTGCTGACAATGCCCTGGCAATCATCACGGGATTTCCCCTTTCCGAATGTGGCAATCCAGACTTTTCCAGTAACAACATAGCGGATGGTAAAACTATGTCGTCGAATTGTCCAAACACCCAGTGTTTTCCGGTTGGTTTCTTGAACGTGCCGCACCATATTTTACCCACTTCGTTCAACACGTATTCCTTTAATTCTTCCTCTTTTTCCATGTAGACTCCATCGTGGCTATTCCATGGGTTGAAAATGATGTAGATCTCATCTGGAATCTTAAAAAACACAGTAAAGTAAGTAGAATGTAGAATATGTAGTAGGGGAGATAATCACCGAGACCTTACAGATCTATTGTATTTTATCTACCGTCAGTGAGTTAAGAAGCTCTTAACTCACGCATTTTGAGTGAGTTAAGAGCTTCATACGAGGCTTTGGGCCATAAGCTAAACATCGACAAAACCAAAATCATGTGCACTCCCCCGGAAGATCACAACAATGCTATAAAAATCGGAGAACTATTGGAATATGTAGCGGAATTCCATTACCTTGGCAGTTTGATTTCGGAAAAGGCCAATATAGACTCTGAAATTCAGTACAGGATTAGCAGCGCCTCAAGAGCATTCTGGCAATTAAAAGACAGAGTTTTCTACAATCATGACTTGAGTACAAACATGAAACTTCCAGTGTACCGAGCAATTGTAATCCCCACCATGTTATATGGGAGAGAAACCTGGGTGCCGTACCGCCGACACATGAACGCATTAAACAAGTTGCAACAGAGACACCTTAGACAAGACTCTTAAGAATCCGGTGGTTCCATCATGTCTACAACGTATGGGTCCTTGAAAAAGCTAACTGCGAGAGTATTGAAGTCATGGTTACAAAATCCCGCTTAAAATGGGCTGATCACGTATGCAGAATGCAAGAAAAACGCATACCAAAATCTCTGCTTTACGGTGAGCTTGTAGACGGTAAAAGGAGACCGGGTAGACAACTCAAAAGGTACAAGGACTTTTTCCACGAAAACTTAATGGGGATTAACATGCAGAATGAGTGAGAAGAAGCAGTTCAAATAGAACTCAATGGAGAAGAATTGTAAATTCAGTTAACAGCGACAACCAAAAAGTAAAGAGGCAACAAAGCAATGAGATTTTTGAATGTCCGGAGTGCGGTAGGCAAATAATATCACGTATGGGGCTTTTCAGTCACAGAAAAGCTCATTAAAGAAAACGCCTTGCGTGAACATCTTCTGATGCGTGTCGAGTATTGGTCAGCGAGTAATGGCAGTATGTATGTATGTGAATGGACACCTTTATTCTTTGGTGTACATTGGCTTTAAATACACTGTAGCTATACTTACTTCGTAATCATTTCTTCTGCCTTTTTCGCCAACTATGTTGGTCTGTAACGAACATTTCCAGATACCAACAGGAGCATGAGGAGAAACACGCACTTGGACAGCGATGGTATCACCATCAACGCGGTTCAAACTTATCGACCACCGGTTTGGATCATCTATTGAACGTTTCTTTCTCGGGTTGATGGGCAGAATCACTCTGGTTCCTTTTACAACATTTGGTTTAGGTCCTGACAAAGGAAAATCAAATTTAGCACATTCTTGACTGCGTCCAAATTTTGATTCCCTTGAAAGTCTCCAAATATACGTTTTTTGCGGCATAAATTTCTGTGTCTTTTTTTACGTTAACTTAGTTAGGTTTGATTTTTTCACAGCTTCAAAGGACAAAAAAGTGGCTCACAGCTATAACTTCTTTATTTTTTGAGATAAAAAATCGAGATTGAATATAAATTAAGATTGATTGACGTATTCAATTTCTTGGAAATCAATTGGAAATCACTATAATTTATGATTTTTAAATGACATCCTCGGTATTTTGTTATTCAATAGAAAATGAAACTCTGAATAGAATGACATATCATATGTCAACTTTTGACATTTTCGAATATGGTTTATTTTAAATTGCAATATGCAGTTCAGAACGACAATTTGACTCGAAATACCAAGTGTGTGGTACCAAATTATTCGTTAAAAAATACCTTTTCCAAATATGCTAATAAGCCACCCCTGTTCCAATTGAAAAAATTGAGATATGACTATGAGGAAAAATACGATTTGGGCATCTTTTAACCGGACAAGACAATACATTAAAAACATTAGACGTTCAAATCTATTTTTCCAAGGCTTCTTGATTTAAAATTAGTCTTTTTAACACAGCCATGACACTCTAGATTGAAATTTAAAGCACAATTTTGTTTTCAGCGAAAATGTCAAAAGTTGGCATATGATATGTCATTCTATTCAGAGTCATTTTCTATCAAATAAAGTAAAAAAATACCGAGGGTATCATTTAAAAATCAAAAGTTGTAGTCATTTCCGGTGAAACAGGAAGTGACTGAAAAGAATTGAATACGTCAATCAATCCTAATTTATGTCATAAATATACCAAAGCTCTTATAGGGGTGAGCCACTTTTGAGACGTACCCGGTATATAAAAAAATATTCAGAAAAAACATATTCTCTGATTCCACATGTTTTATTGCAAGTTATACAAATAGTGAATTAATTGAAACAGAGACATAGTTATTATTTTAATTATTATTTACATGAAATCTTAAGAAAAATTATATAAATCGCCGCAGGTATAGTAAATTAAAGGGAATATTGTATAAATGATTTTGTATAAAATTATTATAAAATTGTGTAAATATACTTATTGATATGTGCATATTATGTTTAATTATTGTTGTGACTGGTTTTTTGGGCAGTAGTTTTTTCGTTTCAACTATAATTTTTCTCGTTTCAACTATATCTATTTATATTACAAGGTGGTCCATAAGCACGAGCAAGTCCAATATCGTCGTTGTTGATATAAACAAGAGATATAAACAAATTTTAATATAAATGTTGCATGGTTTATAAAGGCACATCTCCCAAAAATATTTTGTTTTACACAGGGTGTCCCAAAAGAAATAATAATGAAGTTTTATTTGTTTTATTTATATATATTATTTAACTTTAATAGTACTTCAATATATTTTCCTTGTAACTCACACTCCATCTTATACAAGATATTTTTTATGTCGTGGCCATCTTGTATATACTTATAATGTAATAATAATTACATATATTTATAATGCTATATCTCAGTTTGTTTAAAGCAACACCCATTTATATTATTTCTTTTTTAAATGCAGAATTTAAAAAATAAATATTTTTTTGTATTTAAAGTGTTTTAAAATATTTTTATCTACGTCAGTGAGTTAAGAAGCTCTTAACTCACGCATTTTGAGTTATTTGGCATGGTGTTATTTGAACAAAGGTATTAAGGTAATTGATTTTTAGGATAGGTATGTAGTTAAGTACAATAATTTTAAAATTCACTGTGTTTTTATAGTTAGACGTAGATAAAATATTGTACAATACACGCGAGTTAACTCCATTATGATACTTGTGTGGTTTGGTTTCACAGGCGTATCTTAATGATGCTGTTAACTCACTCACTTGTATCGTAAATATCTATTAACAGCCTATTATTACTTATAGCCTCTTATAGCTATTTATATCATTCTATTCTATCTTTGACGATTTTTTTTAATCGATTATATTTCTCACGCATTATTTTGTTTTAACTTACCTATAGCAAATCTTACTCTGACCACATCTTGAGTTGGTACATATTCTCTGTTAAAACGAATAGCAAAATAAAAGGTACAACCTCTTCTAAGTATAGGAAAAGCTGCCTCACTGTCCAAAATATCGTACATGTCAGTGTGACATTCTGCTGCATTTTCTTTGATGTAAAGTTCAGTACCGACAGGTACTATGGGATCCATGATTCTGTAAGAAAAAAAATAAACATGAATTTATTTTTATTTTCAAATAATCATTTTATCTATTTGAAAAAAATATAGTATTCCTAAATATAACTCAGTAGATTTTTAGTCAATAAAAAAGAATATATAATGCAGTTATTTTCAGGCTGTTCATACCTATAAATATACATTATGTGATATAAAATATACAAAGAAAGTTTTTGGCAAGCTTCCTAAAAATTTTGCATTCATCAACTATCAACATCGTCAATAATATTTAATGTAGAGGAACTGGGAGAGCATAAAGATACATTGTTAATAAACTTGCATTAAATTTTGCATTTTTGCATTGCATTAAAGTACAAATAATGTACAAAGTGGTCCAATAAAACAGCACATCGTTGGTAACTCGATCGTAAACATTAAGTGAAAATGCCATTTTTTTAATTTTTAAGCAAAAAATAGTGCTTTTTAGGGCTCCGTACCCAAAGGGTAAAAACGGGAACCCTATTACCACAGCTATTACTAAGACTTCGCTGTCCGTCCGTCTGTCACAAAGGTCTACCTTATGAACCGTATAAGCTAGACAGCCGTGATAGCTAGACAGTTGAAATTTTTACAGATAATGTGTCTATGTTGCCGCTATAAGAACAAATACTAAAAACAGAATTAAATAAATGTTTATAAATAAAAAAGTACTTTCACTAAACATTACCTTTTAAGAATTTTACATAGAATCTTTCATGTCCTCGGTGGCCGCGTGGTTAAAGCGTTATGACTTTACGCTGCTGTGACGATGGAGCCGTAGTAAGGCAGATTCGAATCCTAGTCAAGGCGACTTTTTTTAATCGTTTTTTTTTTAATTTTTACATATTTATTTTTGCTTTTTACATATTTATTATTGATTAATACAATTTTTAGTAATGTGTTTCTTCATTTTTTTAATTACTTATACGCATACGCGCATTCAAAATTTCAGCTAAATCGGAAAAAAGTTTATAATAATATATTGTCTAATGTTGTATAGATAATGAATGGTACGGAACTCTTCGTGCGCGAGTCCGACTCCCACTTGACCAACTTTACTTCTACTCGAGGAAATAACTTAGTTAGTGGTCACTAGATGACATTGTTACCGAATAGTGTACTACAAATAACGTTGAATTTTTCCAATCATTTCAGAACAGAATCTAGAACAAAACACTAATAATCAACATTTTTATTGGTTGGTAGTAAAAAGTACAGTGTTTAAGGTTTAAATATCAAAGCAATTTCCAACATAACTTTGATTTGGAGATAACAAATTGTAATGCAGTCGGTGTAATCTAGGTGTTGCTACTTAATAACAGCTATAAATATTAATTGACATACTTTGCAAGAGATAAAATCAACTATTTATTATTTCATGCAGGTAATAAATAATTAATTAGATATAAAATAATGCATGTAAATATGTGAAGAACATTTTTAATTTTGTCGTGATTTTAAATTTAGAAACACAATTTTGTTTCATTTAATCTTAATCTAACTTGTATTTGAATACTCTAAATGTCATCGATCGTCATTTCGTAGCCAACTGGACGCCTTTTTTTCGATCAGACGGTACATCAAAAATGCATTTTGATGCGTTAAAAGACGTGTATAAAACGTCATAATGTGTAATTGTAATACCATCAGATTTATTATGAAAAAAAACATTTTTTTAGAAAATTTTAAAACCCTATAGATACTTCAGAAATTAAGATGTTTAGGACATAATAATAATATAATATAAAGTTTTTTTCTTAGGATAGGTCCAAGAATAGTTAAATATTAACATCTCATTGAAGAAACACCCTGTATATTGTTCTAGTGGACCAATTTTAATGATTTTTAGCCGACCATACCAATAGGTATGGTAGACTATTAAGATCGGCAAAAAAAGTTTCTTTAATTTCACTCAAAATGAGTTATTTGGGTCATAAATGACCTAAATACAAAATATTTTCATGGTGTCTGTCCGTCTGTCTGTAACACGATAATTCAAAAACCGCTAAACCGATTTTAACCAAATTTGGCACAAAAATACTGTGGCACCCGAGAATCTGGCCATTAGTTTTTGATGGGGGTGGGGGGTTGG